TCACTGGAATTCGCCCATCGGTTAGCTTATTCGCTGTCTCTGCGGATAGTTCTTTTCGCGCCTGAACACCAAGTCTCTCCTCATCGCGATGGGCTTCCAGGCGTCCACCCTGGGTGATGCGGCTTTCAAGCATCCGATTCACCATCGCTGGCTGTTCAGCATGGTGCACGCGCCCCCCTTTTCTCTGCTTATGCAGCTCGCGTCCTCCTGTTAGATCTATTCGGCGGCTGCGACTGCAAACACAGGAAGCTCGAAAAGTAGCCTACTGCGTAGAAGTCGGCGCACTAGGCGCACAGGTTCGGAGTAACGCTTGGTAAAACTATTCCGTCGAACGCGCAGTAGCGCCAGCAGGTTGGACAGGTGCGCGTACGGCTCGACGCAAGTCGGGAGCGGTGCAGAGGTTGTGCGCGGTGCAGTCGGGGGCGCAAGAGAGGGTAGACAGGTTGGCGTCGAAGGTAGTGATGCGCAAGCTGACCCAGGCTGCAGTGGTTTGATGATTGCAAAAGTGTCGGTTAACCTGGGGAATTTCGCGAAGGTGAGACGCACCGGAGCAAAGCATCTGCCCCCGTGAAATCCGATGCAGCCTTGGCGGGCAGCACGCCTACGGCGTTCACAGCATGCTTTGCATTCAAATATTGAAGCCTCTTCTTCCCTGACCCAGCTTCGCCATCCCTCAAGATAAATGCTGAGGGTGCGAACAGCATCCATTCAGGCTAAGGTCCTGGGTGGTCGTCTTCGAAGACTCTCGCCGCTCGAAAGGCGTCGCGAAAGACTGTGCATGGCGGAAGCGTGTGGCCCATCATATTGAGACCCCTACAGTGCGCGGTAGCTAGAAATTGCGACTTGTCGCGTAAAGGCGACGCGTTTCGCCAGTCCAAACCGGGCGCGAATATGGTTTCGAGCGTGAGGGCGACGAAGACGACGATGATAGCGCAACGCGTCTACATGCACCGACAGCGCGGTACTGAGCAAGTAGAGGATTTTTACCTGCATATATCAGGGCTGTGTTCATAGGCTCTGGATGAGTACACATATGCCCTTGACAAAAGTGCCAGAGTTCAGATACTCGCTCTTGTTGGGGATGCTCATGTCGGGTAGTATGACCTCGTCAATGGCGTACTCGACTCGCTACATAAGGCGGCTGATCAGAGCTCCTAATAGGACAGCTCATTTGTCTGGGCTCGGTTTGAAGCGAAAACAAAGATAATGGCGGGATTCGGACAGGAGGCCGAGGCCTTGTGGCGCCCAGAAGTCGGAGAGCCGCCGGCGCTTTCAGTGCGAGCACATCGACCCCGACTTGGTCCTGTTCTGCTCTTCGACGCCCTCCATGGACCGATCTTACCCTGGCGGCAAATACTTGAGAGAGCGTCACCCAGGATGCTTCCTACGCTTCATTTGAACTGTTTCTTCTGCTGCCCCTACGAGCGACCCTCCCCCCGGCGCGGGGCTCCAAGTGCCACCTGTCCAAAGTGACGGAATATCTGCTTCAAGCTCAAGACTTCTTGGGAGGCCTCACGAACGATCCTTCACTTTTCAAGCAGCTCGCAGAGGACACCGCAGATAGTCAAACTCGTGTTTTTGGAGCACCAACCGGGAGGGAAAGCTCGTTGGTCGGAAGTATACTATGGAGCTAGGCTAAGGTGCGCACGCATGCTCTCCCCCAGTCGATTACCGTCTGAAAATTTGCAGAACGATTTGGATGTGGTGCCGAGCTCGTGAAAGCCTGCCTGCGTACGACCTGCTCCGCACAGTCGTCGAGGTCGATTCCTTCCTCAGAGCGATGACCACTGCCGGCGGAGCGGGTGAAGCTTTGAAGCTCGAAGTATAGGCGCAATAGCAAAGTCGATGTTGCGACTTACAAGAACATGTCACACGAGGGCCGAACGCGCGCGATCTCAGATTTCAACGTTCGACGTTCAACCCGGCTACCCCGGGAGCCCTACACATAGCCCAAGACGAACATCATAAATGCACAAGGCCAGGGTGCACTGGGATTTATTGCTCACCGGGACGGTCTAACTGGAACGGCGGCATCTTCGTGACGCGTGAACGTTGTGACTGCTCACGCGCAGCGCGCCCAGCTCGTTGACGTCTATATCGTGAACCTCGGCATCTTTCTCGTCAGTTTTTGCGAAAGGTGTGTGACCCGTTTTATTTTCTCCAACACGAACTCATCATCTCATAGCCCTGGCATCTACACTTAACCTAGACGATTCTCTACGGAATCGGCGTCTTGCTCCACTACTCTCCTTGCACTGACACCAGTACATCTCGATCTTGCACTCATATCGCGCGTCAGTGTTGGCCGAACCCTGGAGATTCTTGGCGTATGGAAATTTGTGGTCGGGGCTGCCGGTCTTGTTCGTCGTGAAAAGGAAGGATAGCCTGCACAATTCAGGCCGCAGGAGCACCAGAGTTTTCCTCAGCGTCGTGAAACATGGAGCATTCGTCTATCAGGTGCAGTCAGTCTCGATGTGTACGGATTCTACAGGATTAACAGGCGCGCTTTCTGTAGGTCTTTAGCGCGTTCTTGCAGGCAGGCAGAAATGTAACTCCCACATACTTTCTCAAGACCTACCCCGCCTCCGCGCTCTCGCACTCCTCAAGCAAGGCCTCGCTCCCCCTTGCCATCAATAGTGCAGTGAACAGCGCTGCGCATATGGTCGTGGGGAACCTTGCGGATAAGGTCGGCCGGCAGGACACACTAACTATTAGCGCACGCACGCCTCGCTCCCTACCCGATTCCTCGTGCTGGCTGGTCTCCGCAGGTTCTGCTATCTGCAATTTCCGCCCTCATTCTCTGGCCGTCTGCACCTTGGCTCAGCCGCGCTTCGTCGTCTTCGCCCTCTCGCACGACGTCCTTGCCGGCGGACACAACGCCCTCCTGCTCATGATGACCGCCGAAGTGCCTGGCGTGCGGCCACCGCACGAGTGTGGGCGGTATCGTCTACTTCGTCCGCGGTACATGCGCACTCTTCAGGGCGTCGCTCGCAGGCGACGTCCTCCGGAGCCACTAGCGCGGGTTAGGCGCGCATTTGCAGAGTGACGTCGATGGAGCCGCCCACGAAATACAGCCAGGGTGCGCTGTACGACAGGGCGAAGCATCTCGCGGCGAGGCTCTGCGTCGCATGTGTCAGATGGTCCGACGCACGATGGAGAGGGTATTGGCAGTGGAAAGCATGACAGGTCGTGCATCGTCATCGTCTCCCAAAAGTTCTGGATTTCTTGTTTGAGAAGTGGCCTTGCCGCGTTAACATGCACTGTAAATGTACAATTCGACAGCTAAAAACGACGCCCTTCTTGGGCAACGTCTACCCTTGATATCAGTGACTTGACGACGGCGCCATCCGGAGAGCAGCTGGCCACAAATCCAGCCGTGGGACACTGAAAGCGGGCGAACCTTTCAACTCAGCGTTTGTACCCTCCGCAGGCAAACGATTCACTCCACTCGATATCATCAAAGGTGGCTTGCACAACGCCGAGCAGCCTAAGGACAGTGCAAGGGATGACGCGCTGCATCTAGCTGCTGCAATGCAATTCTCCCGCTTCTGGAGTGAAGACCATGTGGGAGGTGCATATTCGGACGAGGATGGTCCCATCTTCGCCGGGCATTTTTACTATGCGCTATTCAGAGAAAACGACAAGGACTCCCGATATGCAACAGAAGAATTTCGCGCACATTGGCGCATAAGCATATCGAGTACCCATAATGGATTCCTCACCGCTATGATACACGACAAAGTCAAGCATGTTTTCCTTCTCATACTATATTTCTTTGCAATGGGCGCTGGGAAAGTCTGTGTCAGTACATCCTTAAGCACGGCCATAGCGGCATGCATACCTTTGACAGTGCACAGAAGAACCACCGAGCACGAGTTTGGTTTGCTTTGTCGGCCTGTTCAGCCTACAAGAATGCAGGGTCAGTCCTCACGTGTACAACCAATCATACGCAAGTACTGCCTACCTTTGGCTTCGTCCTTACTAGGTCGCGACGATCTGGGATACTTCCGCCATCATTACCCATGCTTGAATTCTGTGGCTAGCGAGTTGGAAGGGGAGAGTGGGCAAACAGGACAGGAACAGCGAGATGAGGGCTCGAAGGTGAAGCTGAAGCTGGGGTAGACAAGCGCCTGTAAATGTGTGAACGCTTAGTCAGCTCGGGTCAACTCCAATGAAGGTATCCCGTCAAGGAGAAGTACTCTCGGTCCCTCTTACCAACCACAGGACCAATGGAGCACTGTAAGGCTCGTTCTCTTACTCGCCCAAAGTTGCTCATGTTTTTTCTACAAGAATATAGATTGTCGTCATAAGAGCATCGGTTTTGGGACTAGTTGACGAGATGGGGGTTCGCAGCCCAGTCTTCGACTTCTTCAAGACCATACTGGCATCGCTCTGCTACAAGCCGCAGTTACACAGTACAGTATTTTGCTCTATCACACCGGTTAAGTGACCCCACCGATGAAGCTCACTGTCGCTCTCTGACCGATTCACGGAGACCTACTTCACAAGATTGAGACGGCGTCTGAAGCTTAAGGGAGCCCGACCGGGTTGTGGACAGCTGATGTAGATCGCTCATGCTTGAGGCAGTTAGGTCATTCTAACAGCTATTCTAACTTGGTGTTTACTGTAGGATGAGCCCTAGGCGGCAGAAGATCAAGCCGAGGCCCTCTGCGCTGGGCTACGGGATATCGGGAGCTCAGTGCGCTCGATCTCACTTGAGCGAAAGAGACTACGAGCTCGATGGGCGGACAGTCCGCCTCAAGGCACAACTCACCGAGCTCTTCGCAGGCTAGGCACCGTCGCAGGAGGAGCGCCTCTTTGCATGCTCGGAATTGTCCGCGAAGAAACCAAGCTAGTGGAGGCGCAAGCCGATCGAGATGTGCTCACCGCTCTTGAGACGTCCATTGAGTCCTCCATGGCAATTTAGACCGACTATAGAGTGCTTCAGTGGATGGATCAGACATGCTTCACTTCCGTCAGTCGGATACTCAGTTCATCAAGTACGTCCGCCGCCAAGCTCTAGCACAAATACATGAACCGGTAGTGTCGTGCCTCCTCGGCAAACTCTACAACAAGGATGCAATAATAGAGTATCTGCTAGACAATAGCGCATATGGCGACGGAGAGGAGATATGTGGTCATATCAGGTCGCTCAAGGTGCGTACCACGAGATGCCTGCTGTATGCCAGTTTATGAACCCTCTACGTTAGGACGCCAAAACTTTGAAGCTCACCCCTAACACGAGCAAGAAATCTTCGACGGCTGAGCCTTCACCAGACCGCGCGCAATTTGTTTGCCCACTTACGCTCAGGGAGATGAATGGCGCACAGCCCTTCGTGTATCTCTGGACCTGCGGCTGTGTCTTCTCGCAGGCCGGCCTGCGTGCTGTCACAAGCTCACCCTCGCCTCGAGAAGATGCCGGCAAGCTCGAGAATAAAGACAGTCCGGAAAGCAACGCACAGGATAACAATGATTCTCTGGATACCGACCCCGTAAAACCCACGTCGGGCGACCTCGACCTCTGTCCGCAATGTGGTGCCAAGTACAGCCGCGCAGAGGACGTGCTCACGCTCAATCCAGTGCCGAAGGAAGAGTCGAAAATGTTCGACGCCATGTTGAAGCGCCGCGCCGCAGAGCCTGCGAAGAAGGGCAAGAAGCGCAAAGGGGCCGTCAAGGCTGAGGCGGGTGCTGAGCCACCGACGAAGCAGATGCACCCTTCCGCATCGCCTGCGCCGAGCCTCAACCCGAGCATCACGGCCGCGAGCAGAGCAGTCGCAGAGAGCCTTGCAATAGAAGAGGCCAAGCGGAAGGCGACGATGAGCCAGGCTGTCAAGTCGCTGTACGAGTCGAACAACACGAAAGAGACGTTCATGACTAGGGGTACTTTTACGAGAGTACGCACATTTTCCTTTCCTCCGATATGAGCTGTGCTAACTTGTGCTTTGCAGTACGCGTAATTATCAGCCATTCTATTATCGTAGCATATAAACCTGCATGCTGTAATATGTAATTTATTTGTAGCAATCGTGCTGCGTGACAAGCGGCGAGCATGAGCCAAAGTAGATCACACTGAGATTAGGTCAAGATATCGAACATACATGAGATGGAAGACATTGGGCAAGATCTACAGGTAGAATGGGATACCGTATACTACTGGCGCTGCACCGGTAAGATACTTCAGCTTGCACGCGTCCCTCGACTCTGCGACCGCCGTGACAATGGAAGCTTCGTCCTCCCTTCTCTTCTCTGGCCTCCACTGCGCGACACGTTCCTGCGTAAGATGCATCTTGTCGAAGACAGCCTGCGAAAACTTGTCGATGTCGCGGTCGGTGACGTCCCAGAGGTTCGCGACGAGCGTTGGACTGATAGCAACAAAGTGAATAGGTGACAAATCGACTGAACAGCGGCAAGAACTGACCATCCTGAGAGCATATAGTTGTACGGCGTGCCAATGCGATCAAAGTCACCCATCTCCTTCAGGGCACCCGAAGAACAGCCCCAGAGCATCGTCGCAGCGCAGCGAGGGAGATGTCGCAACCTGTGCGACTTGATGTACTGCTCCGCTCCGCCGTGCCCGAAGTAACTGAGCAAGCATGTCAGCACTGAAAGGAGCACCAGCAAGAATAGACGTACATGACCAGATCCTTCCCCGTCAGTGCGTTCGATAATTGCAGCTCGCTTGGAGCGCGTCCAACGATACCGTCCCAACCGATGCTGGCCATATCTTTCAGCCAGTCAAGGAAGCGACCCTCAGTATTCTTCAGATCGCCGCTCGGGTTGAGAACGTAGTACGTGCTCCGAGGATCCACGACGATCCTATCAACCGACCCTTGAGCTGCGGAAGAGCCAGCCACCTTCATCTGCTGGCAATACTCGAGCCGATCCAAGAGGAAGTCCACGCTTGGGATGCGGCTGATGCTCCTTCCTCTGAGAATGGGCAGCGACTCCCAGGGAACACCGGCGACATTCTTGTCAAGCACAAGGAACATATGTGCATCTTTCTGTAGCCGGAGCTTCCCAATGCACCGTGCATGATGCTCCTCGAGCGCGGTACGTAGGTCCACGACGACCTCATCGATGTCTACCTCGTTGACTGCGACAGGCATACCGTGGAACTGGTAAAGGTCGAGGATGAAGTAGACCAGGTCCGCAAGTTCCTCGTCGCGGCATTTAGGCGAGAGTGACGCGAAGCACTCAAGCAGGGCGTCGTTGAGTCGGATAGCGGTACTTTGTCTCTTGTCTTGCAGGCGGAGTCCGCGCTTGAAGGCGAGCTCGACTTGGGTACGGAATGGATCCAACAGGTTGCCCGGAATGTCTGTGGAATCGTTCAAGATAGTCTACGCAAACAGTGTATATGAATATTCCGTTTCAAATCAAAGCGTCGATCGCTCACCTTGAATGCACCCAACCAGCAGAATTCGATATTAGCTAGAAGCGCTTTCATGCGCTCGTCAAGCGCAGCTCGGTCAGCCCACCAAGCAGACCTGGATACGCGATCCTTCGTTACGTGCTGCGCCTGCCTTGTCCCCTCGTCGCTGAGACGAATGATCTCTTTGAGCTCAGCGATTGCATCGTCGAAGGTCAGGAACTCGGTGTCGTCCACGTTCTCTCTCCGATCTTTCAATGGAATGCAGAAGATGAGAGGTTCTCGCCTAGGACGCTGCCGCGTGACGAACATCGTATTGCGATCTTCCGTGACGCTAATGCTGACAACAGTCCAATGTCTTGGGAGCAATTCTAGCTGAGGAGAGGCGAGGCTGGTTGAGTCGCAGACCCGGCTCCTGTACTTGTTGCCGATGGTCTCCCAAAATTTCTTCAGAGCATGTTCGGAAACGTCCTCGTGGCCGTCATCTTCGTCGTCAGATCCAAAGGGTACGAACCGAGCTTTAGGCTTGCGCTTTGGTGGCGGCATTACAGAGCCATTCGGCGTCATGACTGGCCATTGCAGGTCGTTCTGCGTAGCGATGTCTGGAAACTTGTGCTGGGTGGCCTCCAGCACTTCACGCTGCAGCGTAATCGCGGCAGACATGTCTAAATATCGTGAGCCCAGAAATTCTTTCTTACAAGACGAGACTCTCACCGAGAAGACGTGCCGCCACCACCGGGCTGTCTGCCGAGGATCCACCTAGGGAAGTCTGAAACGACCTGATCAAAGCTAGCGAGATAGCCGCATCGCGCACATCGAAGACAGCTCCTCGTCGGGAGATGAGACCAAGATCCGACCAAAATAGCCTCTCCGCGTTGTTCAGAATAGCAAGGACGTCATGTCCTGTTGCAACCGCCCGCGCCTTGTCTCGGGTCATTCCCATGGGTAGGGTGATGGCTATGTTTCACAGTTAGCATGTATCCTATCTAAGTTCTGCTATAACGCTTACTGGATTCAGACAGGGAGCTCAGGAACATATCGGCTTGGAATCGCGTGTAGACATTCTCAAGCGACAACTTGGCCAGCAAAGCGCTCTCTTCTGCCTTGGCTTCGGCAGTCAGAGACAAATTGCGGAAGCGTTCCAGTAGCGCTGCGTACTCTTCGCCTTCGCCATGGAGGAGTCGGACTGACATGATAGTGAATACTTCAAGCAAGCGATGCCCATTCCAGACGCGACTCACTATTTTGACGCAGGATTGCCATGAGGACGCTCGGAGCAAGCGACTCATGGTTTGTGGTGACCTTCGACGACTTAGGCGACAACATGCCCTCAAGTGATTTGCGAGGACTGTGGCGGTGATTAGATGTTACAAACACACTTGACCAGCAGTAACGTACCTGGGAGCCTGTCTATCGAGGGCAGCGAACACGCTATCCAGCTCTTCCAACATGCTCATGGCTTCGTCATATAGCTGCTGTGCATGCTTGCCATCGGAGTGCCGTCGACTGTGCTCCGCACGAAGGCAGCGGATCTCAGCAACGTCCGGACCGGCGGTGTCGGCAGCGAGTTCGGCAGCCTTCACCAGCGAGGTACGGCTATCTTCGACTTGGTGGAGGTGAAGGTAGATTTCCCCTATGCGCGCGAGAGCTCTGCCGACCATAGCCGGGGTGTTCAGCGACTCCGCGACGTCTTTGGCCTGTTGCGCGAAATACTCGGCCTCTCGAGGAGAACCTCGTGCGATGTATGCTTGAGTCAAGGCGAAGAGTGTCACCAGTAACCCATGGGAGACTCGCCATTCGATGCCGTCTAGAGCAGGTAAACGCGGAATGATCTTTCGCGGCGACAAAGGCTTCTCGTTTGCCTTTGCCTGGGTCTTCGCACCGTGAGTCGTGGGCTTTTCGAGGAAGGGGTTTTCGGTATCATCGTCGGCAGCCTTGGTAGGCTCGGCGGGGACCACCTTCGAGAGCATCTCAATCGCCCGATTCCACAGCCGAAGGGCTTGCAGCAGGCTGTTTATAGCGGCGGCTGGGTCGTCCTAGAAGCTGTTAATATCGCGTGTTATCAAAAAGCTAAATCAGATGCTTACCCTGGAATATTGGATAAGAGCAAACGTGCTTGCAGCAACCGCGGCTCTTTCTAGGATAGTGGTTCGAAGAACGAGCCTCTGTGTTGTAGGCAGTCCCTTCTCTATGTCCGGTAACATCCCAGACGCCGCGTATGCCTCGCAATACGCTGAAGAACCCTTGAGGACATTGCCAGCGGCCGCATGGCACTCAGCGTATCGCAGCTGAAGCAAGACTTGTGTCTCTTCGGAGAGCTTAGCCCTCTTCGCCAGATTAATTGCGCCATGAAGAACGTTTCCTGCTTTCGCTAGTTTACCAAGATTGATATACTCCTGAGCGAGGTCGCTCGAGATCGTAGCGTAGTCTGTAAATCGTGACTCAGCGTTGGTAAATTTTGCATACAGCTCGTACGCACCATCTGGTCTGATATCTAAAAAATTCTCGCAGATGCGTCTGGCCACGATAAGTAGATGGACTTTTGTGACCACCTGCCCAAGAAGTCCCAAGAGATGTGAACAAGACCCTGAGGCATATTCGTCAGAAGACGCAGGCCGACACTGACAAGATGGACTTACGGAGAAGACCGAGTAGAACAGGGAAGTCATCCACAGGAAGGCTTTGCGCTTCCTCAGGCTCGAGCGGAGCGGTACCGGTGACAATAATATTTGGGCGTGATGGCACTAATCAGACTCAGCAATGCTCAACGCGCATCGACATGACGACCTACCTCTCTTCTTCTTGGGCGTCGCCGGCATCGTAGCGATGGCTTTCGCGGCCCTTGCCCTCGACAAGCGGGCTATAGGCAATCTTGACGCAGGGACCGCCTTGCTCGCCGTTCTTCCACTGGCTCTGGTCCGAGTAACCTTCGGCGACTGTGCGGGAGTGACCGACTGCCGGGGCTGCTTGAACGGAGAGGACGCCGACAGAGCGCCCTTCAGGATGCCGCAAGCCTCCTCAGCATAGGCAACGACCTTGGAGAACTGCGACGTCTGCGCTTCGCGGTGACACAGGAGCGCGAGGCGGAGCTTGAGAATGGCGCGATAACGGGTGCGGAAGTGGACGAGACCTGAGTCGAGGCCGAGGTCCTGCTTGGAGAGCAAGGTGTCTGCCTCCCTGCCCAGGGCTTCGGGATCCAAAGCATCTTGGGCGTTCGCAGACTGAGAAGACTGAAAGTACTCGAGCTGCTTGAGGACGACCCGCGCTCGACGAATCGGCATAGGCTTCGCGTCATAAACTCGCAGGGCCTCGTTGAGGAAAAATTTTACTGCCTTGCATCCACTCATCTTCCACCTACAGCCGTCCAGACTTTGAACCTGGCGCTCCAACACCGCCCCGATGATGACCTTCCGCGCCGCGGCAGAGTCAAGAGAGAGGCCCTCGGGTACGAAACATCCCACCAGGTGTGGCTTCAACGACACCGCCCGTGGCTCGAGCAACAGATCGCATATTCCGATATACGTCAAGCGATCAATGATACCAGCGACATGTTTCAAGGCGGAGATACTGTCGAAGAGTGTCGAGACGTTGTGCGTGGAAGCCATATCCAAGAACGACTGCTTCGCGAACGGGAAGGTCTTAACGCAGCTTACGAAGGCCTCAAACGCCTGCTTGCGGTCTTCTGTCTTGGAGTGACATACGCCTAAGATCTCCCAACGGCGGTACATCTGGTCCTCAAGCTGTGTCCACGTTTCTTGCTTCTCCACTTCAACGCGGCCCGTTGTCCTGTACATCTTCAAAGCTCTCTCCCCTACAGAACAGCTCTGTTCCAGGAACCGTGCGGCATGAGAGTGCTGGGTCGCTTGGTACAGGGTACCACCCAGGTTATGGAAGGCACCCGAGAGGCAGCGCAAGTAGTTCGCAATTTGCAGCGTATCGCATGCAGATTCTTCCGCGCGAGCTAGAAAAGCTGCAGCACGAGAAAGGTAGTCGTAAGCCTGTGTGTACGACAGAGGTGACGAGACCTCGAGTGTCACTCGCGCGAGAGCGAAGAGGGAGTCTAGAGCTGCTGTGAAAAGCTCGCCATTACATGACTTGGTCTGCACAAGTTCTATAGTTAGTGCATACTTCGGCAGGTAAGAGATGCAAAACGAACCGAGTATATCGCTGCTTCTATGACATCTACTCCCTTCTCGACCACATGCCGCAGCAGTCGACGAGCCGCCTGGCTATTCGTAGGTAGAGTTTCCAGAGCCTTCACAGCCGCTCGCCTTAAACGCTCGACGGCTCGTCGTACCTTGTCCGCGTATCGATGCTCGTCGCCCTCGGCTACGTTGCCTGAAGCGTAAACTGCAACAAGGAATGCCTTAGAGCCCTCAACTGCGGATGCTGCGTCTGTCAAACAGCGCTGCAAGTCTTCATCGGCTGAAATAGCGTCAGCAACACTTTACTTCGTATGGAACGCGCCCCACAGACCTGGGCTCCCGAGCTGCTCCACTAGCAACGTAGCTTCCGCTAGCACTGTGCTCAAGCGAATCGACTCGTGCTTAGTGGATTGTTGCGAATTCGGGGCTGACTCCCGGATAGTAGCTTCCGCGGTAGCTGCCTGCTTCGTCTCATTTGTATGCGCAGAATGACTGTCCGACGAGGAAGGAGACGGAGAGCAACTCCGTATGTGCGCCGATATACGCCGCATAAGAGCAGCATCGTTTGCCTGCATGCTTCTCAATCAGCCTCCATTTCTCCTAAGAGTCCTAAGAGCCGACCACGAAACCTCACCCTCCTTGCAAAGTCCATCCAGTACTCGCAGAACCCCACGAACCCAGATCCGCCTAGCCATGTTCCCTGAATATCCCCGTCTGCCCGCGTAGCAAGGACGGCTTCCTTCATCATCTCAAACGTAGCTAGAATGGTCCGGGTAGCGTTATCCTTGACCTCAGCCGAAGCGGAGCCGCTTGCGACATCCTTCACGAATGCTACGGTGAACTTGACGACCTGGTCCCAGAAGGTGCTTGGTCGTAGAACCGAGGGAGACGTGCGAAGCAGAAGTTGTAGTGCATATACGCGGATAGCATACATAGGCTTCGCGTCTAATGGTGCACAGTGTGTGAGGGCGGACGACTTGGTGATTGACGTATATGCCCTGGTCAGAATAGAGTCCATGTGTTTCGGAGAAAGTTTTTTCAGGGAAGGTATCCATTGCAGCAGCGTAGAGGTATTGGAGAGACTATCAGCGAAATGGGTCAGCAACGATGGTGTTTGTGGAGCAGCTGAGGTCGTAAACGTCGTATACGAGAATGCGAAAAGTGAGTACAGCAGATAATTTGAGGTGAGCGTCAGGAGAATGTCGTCTTCGAGGCTAGCGGATGGAAGGGGCAAAGAGAGCAGATATGCCTTCGTCTTCTGTACGACCTCTCCGTCTGAAGGAGTGCCACGATAGATTCTGAGTAAAAATGCCCGGCCCTCGGACAAAGCCTCTAATGCTGTATCATACTTCAAATTCAGCAAGTCAGTGGAGTTGAATCCAGAAGCGAAAGAGGTTACTCACTAGTTCTAGCGAGATAAGCTTCCCAACCAAGCTCGAGGCAGCGCGTTCTACGTCAATATCTCCAGGCTTTAACTCTCGTAGCACTTGGAGTGCACTCCTAGCGGAGTTTGCGTGCTGTACGGCGGCGACGGCAAAGTCTGGTTGTTTAGACGTTGAACTCCGCTGGGGAGCCTTGGTTGGAACCACTGAGCTCTTCCACCCAGACTCAACGATACCGGACAGGCTCTTGGACGCAGAGTTGACCTCCCGCATAGCATCCGTACACTTCTCCTCTCTCGTCCTCTCTGGTGGTCCGCCGTCAAGTGTCAAACCCTTGGCCAGCTCCTGAGCTAGCCCAGTCACCTCTGATGTCCCCTCCACATCCTTAACTACCCTCGTCTTCTTTGCAATAGTGCATGCCGTGGTTGTTTTAGGAGCAGTCGCCTCCACAGCCTTCTGCTTGCCTTTCGGGTCGGAAATTGTCAATTTTGTCTCCAACTTCGCGGCAAGCTCCTCCGTCTGGAGAGTAGCGGTGCGAGTCACCCTTGTCCTCGTGGATGGACGCGCTGCTGTCGCCAGCACTGGGGCCGTCGCTTCCTTCGATAACGGTTGCTTTCGTGGAGGCATGAGCGGAGGTCAGAGGTGAAGCGGTGAAGTGGCGTGTAGGTTGGGATCAAATCAAACACGGACGCCGGCCTCGCGGACGCGTCACAGCTGCAAAGCGATCACGTGTGCGTTCCGCCGGGTTTTGCCCGACGCTAATGTGGGACTGGCCAGCTATTCATTGCGTGCGTAGTCGTGAGCCAGTCTCTTACTCTGCAAAATGATAAAGCACTTTTCTGCCATACAGATGCGTTACACAGACTATAATTTCCAGTATAGAACACGAGGCACGCGAGCAACGCACGGAGTAAAACACAAGAAGGCTACTAGTGCTACTGCTGTACGCGCCATGTCACGAGAGCAATATTCGAGCATGGTCGTACACCTTGGAGGATACGGATACAGAATAGCAAGCAAGTAAAGTAAGGGAGCTTACGTAAGTTAGAATATCCACAGCTCTGTGGATTAGTGTACGGTGAGGAAGGCATGTGTTATAAACATAGTGTTCTTCACACGGTTAATAACGTGTTTATAACGGTGAGAAACTCGAGGGGGTATTTGACCCAGTGAGAAAGTGTGAGAAACTCCGGGGGTCGGCAAAGTGATGCAGACCGACGACAACACACCAAATACGGCTTTTGGCGACGCCGTGCGGACGTCCGCTCGATAATGGCAGAATACATCCGCCGTGCCGAGTGCGCTATCTCAACCTCGCCATGCAATCAGTGTGCGTTCGGATTCGGCACACAGGTTCAGCATGGGTTTGCACCTGTAAGGGAACGTGGAAAGTATATATGCGCTGTGATGGCCGTCCTTGGTGTATGGGTATCCAATGTTACAAAGGAGGATGCCGCTTCGCTAGACAAGTGGATAGCCAACCTGAGCGCCGGTGCAGCAAAGGCATACGAGCATGCGAACTCACCAGTATGTTTCATATAGTATTGCAGCTGTTATATTGCTGAACGTCACCGACCTGAGCTGCAGGCTAATGTGGTAGCGCTTGGGATTGTGAATCGGCGATACAAGTAATTTATTGATGAAGGGCCTTTGGCAGATATTTATTTCACAGCATTCTTTCTGGATCCCAGTGCGTCACTCTTGGTCTCTGATGAATTTTTCCTGATACGAATAACTCGTTTTATGCAGGATATGCTCGTGTCGACATTCTCAAGAAGCCGAACTTGCTCACGAACACTATCACGCTACCTGCGCATCCCTCCGCTAAGTCATCCACACCAGACGAAATCTTAT